TCTTGCAAAAATTGACCATCAGTGTGAGGGTTGGATTTCCAATTCTATTCCTTTGAACTTTGTCTCTATCCTTATGCCAGTACCATATTTTCCTAATTGCTATAGTTTTGAAGTCAGAAAGTGTGAGTCCTCCAATTTTGTCTTTCTTTTTCTTTTCTTTTTACTTTTCTTTCTTCTCTTTTTACCTTTCTTTCTTTCTTTCTTTCTTTCTTTCTTTCTTTCTTTCTTTCTCTCTCTCTCTTTCTTTCTTTTTCTTTCTTTCTTTCTTTCTGTCTCTCTCTCTCTCTCTCTTTCTTTCTTTTCTTTTTTTCTTTCTTGACAGAGTCTTGCTCTGTTGCCCAGGTTGGAGTGCAGTGGCACGATCTTGGCTCTCTGCAACCTCCGCCTCACAGGTTCAAACAATTATTCTGCCTCAGCCTCCCAAGTGGCTGGGATTACAGGCACCAGCCACCACACTCAGCTAATTTTTGTATTTTTAGTAGAGACGAGGTTTCTCCATGTTGACCAGGCTGGTCTCGAACTCCTGACCTCAGGTGATCCACCCACCTCAGCCTCCTAAGTGCAGGTATTACAAGTGTGAGCCACCACGCCCGGCCATTGTCTTTCTTTTTCAAAATTGTTTGAGCCATTCTGGATTCCTTACATTTCCGAGTTAATTTTAGGATTAGCTTTTCAATTTCTGCAAAAAAAACCAGCTGGGATTTTGATAGGGGTTACATAAAAGCTTTAGATCAGTTTGGGGAGTATTGCCATTTTAACGATATTGTCTTCTGATCATGAACATAGAGTATGTTCTATTTATTTTACCTGTACTTAATTCTTAATTCTTTTACCTGCTTTATTTCTTTTTTAAATTTTTGTTTTTTATTTTTGAGATAAGGTCTTGCTCTGTCACCCAGCCTGTAGTACAGTGATGTGATCTCAGCTCACTGCAGCCTCAACCTCCCTGGGCTCAAGTGATCCTCCCACCTTAGCTTCCTGAGTAGCTGGGACCACAGATGAGCACCACCATGCCTGCCTAATTTTTGTATTTTTTGTAGAGGCGGGGTTTCATCATGTTGACCAACTCCTGGGCTCAAATGATCTGCCCGCCTTGGCCTCCCAAAGTGCTGGGAATAATCCCAAGCATGGACCACTATGCCCATCCTACATGCTATCTTTTTTTTTTTTTTTTTTTTTTTTTGAGAGGAAGTCTCGCTCTGTCGTCCAGGCTGAAGTGCAGTGGCCCGATCTCAGCTCACTGCAAGCTCCGCCTCCCGGGTTTATGCCATTCTCCTGCCTCAGCCTCCCGACTAGCTGGGACTACAGGCGCCCGCCACCTTGCCCAGCTAGTTTTTTTTTTTTTTTTTTTATGTTTTAGTAGAGACAGGGTTTCACCGTGTTAGCCAGGATGGTCTCGATCTCCTGACCTCGTGATCCGCCCGTCTCGGCCTCCCAAAGTACTGGGATTACAGGCTTGAGCCACCGCGCCCAGCCCTACATGCTATCTTAAATGGAATTTTATTAATGTCCTTTTTGTTTGCTCATTGCCACTATATAGAAATACAGTTGATTGGCTGGGCGAGGTGGCTCACACCTGTAATCCCAGCACTTTGGGAGGCTGAGGCAGGTGGATCAGCTGAGGAGTTTGAGACCAACCTACCTAACAAGGAGAAACCCTGTCTCTACTAAAAATACAAAAATTAGCCAGGTGTGGTGTTGCGTGCCTGTAGTCCCAGCTACTCAGAGGCTGAAGCAGGAGAATAGCTTGAACCCAGGAGCCAGAGGTTGCAGTGAGCGGAAATTGCGCCACTGCACTCCAGCCTGGGAGGCAGAGTGAGACTCCATCTCAAAAAAAAAAAAAAAAAGAAAACAAAAGAAAAAAGAAATACAGTTAATTTTTGTACATTGATCTTATATCCTGCAAACTTGCTGAACTTGGTTATTACTTTTAATAGTTTATTAATAGATTCCTTAGGGTGTTCCATATACAAGATGTCATCTGCAAATAGAGATAGTTTTATTTCTTCCTTTCCAGTTTGAATGCTTTTTATTTCATTTTCTTGCTTAATTGTCCTGGCTGGCATCACCTGTACAATGTTCAGTATAAGTGGTGAGAACAGACATCCTTATCTCATTCCTGATCTAAGGAACATAGAGAAAGTATTCAGTCTTCGACCATTTATTTTCTTTTACAATTTTTTTTTTGAGACAGAGTCTTGCTCTGTCACCCAGGCTGGAGTGGCGCAGTCATGGCTCACTGCAGCCTCAAACTTCCAGGCTCAAGTGATCCTTCTACTTGAGCCTCTTGAGTAGCTAGGACTACAGGCATGCACCAGCCAATTTTTTTAAATTTATTTTTTGTAGAGAGGGGATCTCTCGATATCATCTAGGCTAGTCTCAAAACTCCTGCCCTTAGGTGATCCTCTTGCCTCAGCCTCCCAGAAGGTTGGGATTACAGGCATGAGCCACCATGCCTGGCCAGGCTTTAGTCATTAAGTACAATGTTAGCTGTGGGTTTGTGTTAATGCTTTTTATTAGTTTGAGGAAGCTTCCTTCTATTCCTAGTTTGTCGAGAATTTTTATCTCGAAGGGCTGTTGAATTTTGTTGATGCTTCTTCTGTGTCTAGTGAGATGATCATGTGGTTTTTTTTCCTTTATTCTATTGTTATGATATATTACATAAATTGAATCTTAGATGCCATTTATTTTCGCCTTTTAATTCAGCTTCCCATTTCCTCTTTCGTTAGCATTCAGAGGACCCTAGTGGAACCCATTAAATCACATATGCGATAGATACAATGCAGAACTTGGATGCCGATGGTGGCTTTGTGAAATATTCAATTTCCAGGGCTTTGTATCTTGTCAAAAGTCCTAGAGATGGCTGTTTAGGATTTTTTGTTTGGTGTTTTTTTGTTTGTTTGTTTTTGTTTTTTGAGACGGAGTCTTTCTCTATCGCCAGACTGGAGTGTAGTGGTGCAGTCTCAGCTCACTGCAACCTCCAACTCCCTGGTTCAAGTGATTCTCCTGCCTCAGCCTCCCAAGTATCTGGGTCTACAGGGGTGTGCCACTATGCCCAGCTAATTTTTGTATTTTTAGAGAGAGGGGGGTTTCACCATGTTGGCCAGGATGGTCTCAATCTCCTGACCTCATGATCTGCCCGCCTTGGCCTTTCCAAAGTGCTGAGATTACAGGCATGAGCCATCGCGCCTGGCCTAGTGTTGTTAAATGATGTGAATATAAAACAAATTTTTAGGTGTATTTATCCAACTATATAAATTCATAGCAATATGTTGATAGTATATATCGGGGTCCCCAACCTTTTTGGCACCAGGGACTGGTTTCATGGAAGACAATTTTTCCATGGACCAGGGGTCGGGGGATGGTTTGGGGATGATTAAAGAGCATTAGATTTATTGTGCACTTTATTTCTATTATTATTACATTGTAATATATAATGAAAAAATTATACAACTCAGCATAATGTAGAATCGGTGGGAGCCTTGAGCTTGTTTTTCTGCAACTAGATGGTCCCATCTGAGAGTGACAGGAATCAGTGACAGATCGTCAGGCATTAGATTCTCATAAGGAGCACAAAACGTAGATCCCTCACATACACAGTTCACAATAGGGTTTGTGCTCCTATAAGGATCTAATGCTGCCACTGAACTGACAGGAGATGGAGCTCAGGTGGTAATGCAAGTGATGGGGACCAGCTGTAAATACAGCTGAAGCTTCACTTGCTTACCTGTTGCTCACCTCCTACCATGTGGCCCTTTATTTAGAATTTCATAATTATCAGATCACTGAGGAAATAAGGTTCCTCTATGTGGCCTAGGGGTTGGGGACCCCTGATATATATGATACAGTTTCATATTACAGGCACAATTTTTGGAGGCGGAAAATTTTAACTATATTATTTATATGCTTTTGGGGGATGACAAACCTTTTGTGCAGAATAAAATGTGTAGCTAGTATTTCTGGCAGTTGTAATCACTATCAGTGTATTTTGTCTTTGAAAATTTGTAGACCCCCCCAATTTCTTCCTTCAACATAACATGATTTGTTTCATATTATGAATTTCCATCATGTCCCTATTTTATAATGTATGTTCACATTAATTGCAGTTCCCGTCTCTTGAAGACGTTTTTCTTTCCTATGTGGGTTCCTTCACTTGTTTGAATGCCTGCCCTTTTGTTTTTTATTTTTGCAGTTCAGCTCTATTTTTTTATTTTGGCTCTATTCATTGGTATTTTTTTGTCGCTTCTATTGGCCTGTGACTTTCTGTGACTTATTTATAATATTTACGTATTTATGAAATTGACAGTCCAGGCCGGGTGTGGTGGCTCACCCCTGTAATCCCGGCACTTTGGGAGGCCGAGGCAGGCAGATTGTCTGAGCTCGGGAGTTCGAAACCAGCCTGGACAACATGCTGAAAACCCATATCTACTAAAATACCAAAAATTAGCTGGGTATGGCGGCTTGCGCCTGTAGTCCCAGCTACTCAGGAGGCTGAGGCAGGAGAATCGCTTGAACTCGGCGGGTGAAGGTTGCAGTGAGCCGAGATGACGCCACTGCACTCCAACCTGGGCAACAGAGTGAGACTCCATCTCCAAACAAAAAAAGAAAGAAATTTACAGTCCATCCTCTGCCATTAGTGATAATTAATATGTAAATGTTTACTTAAAATGATTTAGAAAATAGTTATTTCTTATGGCTAATATAGGTGATAGTTTTCTAAATTCATAGCAAGGTCTTGGATTATTAGAACATGTCGCCTACAGGTATATATAAAATTTTAGTTATTTATTCTGGTAATATATACAAAATATAAATTTTACCATCTTAACTATTATAAAGTATACAGTTCTGTGGCATTAAGCACATTCACATTGTGCCACAACTGTGAAGTTTTTAAAAAGAAAACAATACCCATTTCTCAATCCTTCTGATTTTCCTTTCTCCCATAGTACATCCCATAGTACATTTTTTCTGTTTTATCAACTTTCCTTTTCTTTTAGATGCTGAAGAGTTTCTGGCAGAAGGTTTGCGGAATGAGAACCTCAGCGCTGTTGCAAGGGATCACAGAGACCATATTCTACGGGGCTTTCAGCAAATCAAAGCCAGGTTTGTATAAACTGGTTCCATTAATCTTCTTCATAAGCTTTAAAACAATTTATAATCAGTAAAATAAAGTCACAAGGTAAGACATACATATGATACCTATCATAGTTCTTTATACTTGACAGAAACTTAATGAATATTTGCTGAATTGAATTGGAGGCAGGCAAGCATAGTTAGTGTAGTTTACCAAAATAAAAATGTTTTGATAATTATGTATGTATCTTGAGGTAATTATTCTGCTTTTAGCTTTGGATTTTTATGTTAGCCTTCATTGACTACTTTTGCATTTAACTAAAAAATGGTGAAAGATAAACATTTATGCATGTCCAAATTATGAGAAAGTGTTAGGCAGTATGAGATAATGTTCATGATGATTTTTGGTACTGATTTTACTTCCACATCTCCTTCCCTCATAGAAAACTTAAATGAAACTTATCAAGTCAATTCTTTGACCATATTGGGATGTTTTATTCCTGAACTGGGTTAAAATATGTTCATTTTTTAAAAATAAGAAGCCCTGAGCTAATTTGTGCTTTTAAGAATGTGAGCATCTGACAGATGCAAACACTTGCCTGGGGGAGGAAAAAATAAAAATTTTCCTTTATAATATATTTTCTGACCACCTATTGCTTGAAATGGGTAACTGAATGAGAGCAAGGGATAAGTGAGTGTTCCTTTAGCTTTTTCAAACCTGGTGGCAATGTGATTCAGAATGTTTAAACTGAATATTCTTAGCAAAGGAAGAGCATCTGCAGGGTTATGATTGAGATTTAATTTGTGTGGCTGACCGTTCTTAGTATCTACTCTAAAAACCTCATTGAAACTGTGTAGAAACAGAGAATTTTATCCTTCGGAAGGGCACAGCCAGAATCTATTCCGTTCAGGAATGTGAGAGAACCTCATGAGATGCCCTGCTGGATCTTAATCGATCTTTCCTGCTGGCTAATTAAGCATGACTTTTACTCAGCAACTGGGGACTGTGTAATTATCAGCCTGGGTTGCCCTGAATAATTGAAACGAACAGAATGCAGAAGATGGGAGTTTTTTGCAAAAGTGGGAATATCTATAATTTTTGGTAGGTTGAAAGAGTGTTTAAAACAAAGTTCTCCATAATGTTATTTTATTAATAGATAAGTTTAGGCTTAGTTATGTACCTGGAGACTTAGTAAATTATAGAATTTTTTTAATTTCACAAGTTTGCCTTTGTGTTTTATGATTACTCTAAGGGTGGCATGTGGAATAAAGATGGAATTATTTTAAATTTGGAGAGGAATGACCTAAATATAATGGTGTATCTGGTGATTCTATTGGTATAAATCTTTGATAAGGAATGCAAAAACACTTTTACTGCAGCTATAGGTACAAATACACAATGAGGAGAAATTCTTTCCTGTATTTTTACCACAGCATTGAGAAAGGACTAAATTTCAATCTTAATTTGGTAATAAAAGGCAATTTATGGTAACTCATTACTGTCAGCTGAATATTATTATACTTCTTAATCCTCTTTTAAAATATATACACACATGCACACACATGCATGAACGCACACAGAAGCTGAATTTGTCATGGGGTAGAGTCAGTTTCTTGTTCTCAAAGAACTTTTTGTGTGGTTTGTGGGGTAGACATTCAGGAAATAATCAGCAGGAGCTTTAGGAAATATCTGCATTGTTGATGGGAGCTTTCTGTTCATTGACTTGTTGCAAGAAAGATGACACTTTATTTAGAATTTCATAATTTTCAGATCACTGAGGAAATGAGGAGCCAGAAATTAGATACTGTACAAGAAAATGGAAAAATGAGGCTTTCCTTTGGCAAGCTGTTTGAAATTGCCTTACATCCACCCATTCAATCATCACTCTGTTAATGTAACCCTTGTTTTCCTGAATCCTCTTCTTCAGCCATATCACCTCTATTGTGCCATTTATGGCTGCCACATTTACTTATGTTGTGTGGCAGTTATATGTCCCCCAAAAAGCTTGGCATGAAAAGAAATTTAGAAGTCATCAAACTTAAGAGTTAAACGTGTATGGCAGGCTAAATGCAGTGGCTTACTCCTATAATCCCAGCACTTTGGGAGGCTGAAGCCAGAAGATCCCTTGAGGCCAGGAGTTTGAGACCAGCCTGGGCAATATAACAAAACTCTATCTCTACAAAAAATAAAGTTAGCCAGGTGTGGTGGTGTATGCCTGTGGTCCCAGCCACTTGGGAGGCTGAGGTAGGAGGATCACTTGAGCCCAGCAGGTTGAGGCTGCAGTGGGCCATGATCATGCCACTGCACTTCAGCCTGGGCAACTGAGTGAGACCCTGTCTCAAAAAAAAAAAAAAAAAAAGTAAAAATTAAGCATATGGCAAATACATGAACCATATGGTAACACAAAAATAATTAAAATTAATGAAGATCATTTAAAAGATATTATTTTTAGTCTTTTTTGTTTGTTTTTTGCTTTTTTTTTTTTTTTTTGAGACAGAGTCTCACTCTGTGGCCAAGGCTGGAGTGCAGTGACACAATCACAGTTTGCTACAGCCTCGACCTCCTGGGCTCAAGCGATCCCCCGACCTCAGCCTCCTGAGTAGCTGCACACCACCATGCCTGGCTAATTTTTTACTTTTTGTTGCCCAGGCTGATCTGGAACTCTTGGACTTAAGCAGTTCTCCTGTCTTGACCTCCCAAAATGCTGAGATTACACGCCTGAGTCTCTGTACCTGGCCTATTTTTAGTCAGATTAAAACAATAATATTTTAGGAGTTTGGTAAATTTGGGGAGGTGGTAACCTATCTAAAACTATAAATTTAGCACTTCAAGGCTTATTTGGAAGGTAGATAAATCTCTAGCAAGATAATCTGGAAAAGCCACTACTAGATAAATATAAATTATATATTTACACATACACATATATGTATTTTACAACTTCCCACTCTCTTTGTTTCCTTGCTTCCTTTAATTCTTTCCTCAACATGTATTGCTCTAGAAACAAAAGGGTGGAGAGAAATAAAAATAGCACTGCCTTTGATTCTTGGTAAACTTCAGGGGCTTAGCTCTTACTTTTATGGCTGGCTTGGAATTCACTGGTATTTGCCATGGTTGTGGACTTGCTGTAAATGGATGCATCTGACTCCATCACAGCTGTTATAATGTGTTTTTTGCTATTTTCTGTTGTCTAGAGTGAATGACCACAGGAAAAGACAGCTGTGTCAAGAATCATGAGTGTTCTCCAAGTGCTCATCTGTTTTTCAGTACAAATCACTTTAGCTATTCTGTTTTTAGACTTAGAAACAAAAAATAGCTATCTTTTTTTAGACTTAGAAACAAAAAATAAAATCCTATCTATATTTACATACTTTTGGTTTTTTTGCTTGAAAGTGTCACCAATGAAAGCTAATATTTTCCATGTAACACAAAATAAAAACGGATAGCAATTTCTGTGATTCCAAGGAAATGAAGCCCTGTTGTGGTATTGATGTCCTAAGCTGTGATTTTCCTTGCTGTTCTTAAAAACTAAACAGCTTTCACATTCCAAGTCCAACTTTTCATTGAGCCCTTTGGAGAGTGGCTAGGATAAAAGCCAGGCAAAGGCACTTCCTGCTTTATTACAGTGGTCACTGCAGGATTAGCACCAGATGTGAGACACCTGGAATGAAGCAGTCATGATCTACGCTTAGACACTTGAAGGCATTCTAATGCATTGGGAGAAACAGTAGAGCATTTTTTAAATGCTTGATTCAGTGGAGGCCATCTGACAGCAAGAATACGTTGAGAGTGGGGGAAGTGATAAAGAAAATATAATTTTTTTTTTTTTTTTTTTTTTGAGACCAAGTCTCTGTTGCCCAGGCTAGAGTGCAGTGGTGTGATCTTGGCTCATTGCAACCTCCACCTCCCAGGTTCAGGCGATTCTCATGCCTCAGCCTCCCGAGTAGCTGGGATTACAGGCATGAGCCACCACGCCTGGCTAAATTTTTTTGTATTTTTAGTAGAGACGGGGTTTCACCATGTTGGCCAGGCTGGTCTCTCCTGACCTCAGGTGATCCACTCACCTTGGCCTCCCAAAGTGCTGGGATTACAGGAGTGAGCCACCATGCCCAGCCGAAAATAGAATATTTTTATTATTGAGATATGGCTTAATTTCTCTCTCGATGGCCCTTTTTGGATAACTAGTCATTTATGCTCCCTGTTGGAAGTGAAGGACAGAGTCAATGGAAGCAAACTTGGAGTATTGTTTCCTTCTGTGAAACTTAGTAATGCTAAAGGAGTTCCAAAAAGAGACCAGGAGATTTATATCATATTGAGATGGAAGGAAATAAAGAAATACCTTTTGTGTGACAGGGTTCTGGCACCAAACTCAGGACATTTAAAGTACAGGCTGAAAGAATATCTTGAACACATCTCATTGTGGGTGGCTAACCTATAGCTCTGTGTGAAACGTGATATACTAGTAAAATCTCATAAAAATAATTCTGACGTTCTTTGGGAATTTCATGTTTTCTTTTCACCTTAACATGGATTTAGCTTTAAAGCAAGATTTAGCTTAAGAATGTATAATTCTGATATTTTTGTATTCTAGCAAGAAAGACAAAGAGTTAGCCTGATAAAACTCTTGGGAGCAAGAGTTTTGAAGTAGTATACTATAAATATAATCACCATTGATTATATAGAGAGTTTTACTTTTCTTAAATGTTAATTATTGAGCTTAAAAACCCCTAAAACAAAACACATTCAAATGAAGTATACTTATCAAAAGAACTAATGTATAATGTGCTATTAGTACATTTATGTTATTCACAAGTTTCAAGATTTGCTCATAACATCTTTTTCTATTCTTTAATTTTGCTACTTGTACTGGAGCTTCAGTGCAAATGCAGAAAAAAAAAAGTAGGAGGTACTTGCATGATCCGTCTAAGTTTAAATAGCTCTGAAAAGGCTCAAAAGTCATAGCAATAATTTGACCACATCTGGAAAGTTAATAACTCATTGCTTCCTTTTTCAGTCCTATCCCTCCCTCCCA